TCTCATTATCCACTGTCCTGTCAATTCACTGTAAACCCTTAAAAAAAACATGGAACCTTAGAAATGTAGTCAGTGCATATTCTAAAAGCATGTTAACTCAATTGATTCAACTGAGTTAAATGGCAAACTGTTGATACTTTCTGAAAATGCCAACAGAAGCCCTACTGGATTTATCATAAATCTGTATTATTAGAGTAGAACACTTTCATTTAAAAAGAGTCACTGAATAAGAACAGTGAAATATCTACCGCAGATTTCCCAACAACACATTTAGACATTCATAGTTTTTGATATGGCGGGTATGGCTTCCCACACAGGGTGTCATACAGCCAAAGAGTGGTACAAGTTACCAGTCGTTTTAAAAAGTTCTCTAAACTGCAACTCACTTCTAGAGTATTTGTTCACAAACTAGTTTTGTTGTACTTTTCATGATTGGTCAAATCTATACTAGATTATTCAACTGTGAACCAAACCCAGTTTGGAGATCTCATTTTCTTTGTGTCACTCATGTCCAACATAGATTGAAGGAAGTGTTGACAAAAACATCACACTTCAAAAAAAAACATCTGTATTTGTTTCTACACCAAAGACAGGTTCTACAAAACACATTTTTTTCTTTGTGAAATTATGACAAGGTGGAGCAGTGGCTCACCCAGGGTCACATTCATTTCAAAGAAACAAAACAAAAACGCCTGGGCATCTCCAGGTCAACGCAGGGTCTGTGAAAATACAGAACTGTTCAGAACAAAAACAGTAATTAAAAAAGAACTAAAACTCCAACTGTTTTTTTGTTCTGTTGGAGTTAATTCAGAGAGAGCTGTAAAGGTACATGTTGTGCTCTAATAAACCCAAAAATTTGACTGAGCTGTATTTGAGAAGTCATCCACGTCAATAAAAAAAAGCTAGAATCAAAACAGAGAATGCACTAAATATATAGAGGACATAGTGAAACAAGGACATTTTTACTGGACCTCAAAAAAAAAAAAAAAAAAAAGAAAAAAGAATTTGCAGTACAAAAGTAGCTTGTACATTAGGGCACTCCTTTATGAATGGAAGTGGTTTGAGTTACACAGATTTATATATTTATATTTTCAAATGAATATATCTCCAGGAAGATATTTGTGTTATATTCTTACCTTTATTTTAAAAAGTCCACTTTGTCATATGGACAATTCATACTGGGTTTTATATATATTTTACCACTAGGTGGCACTGTTTACCTTCTTCCATGGAATAAAAATTGGTGCCAGAAATGGCAGCTATTTCTTTCATGCACTGCCCCATGTGAGACACGTGAGGCAAATGGTGAATAACAGTTGTCAAATACCGGGTCTTTAAAATGAACCGCTGATGGCAAAACGTCCTGAGGGGATTTTATTTAAATGAGAGACTTTCTTGCTGGAGAAGAGACAATCAGAAGCAGAAATAGGGGGGAAGTTGTGTTTTATTTTTAATCTCCAACATTCTCCAATACAGCATGCCTTTTTAGTATTCATGACCTAATGCTGAACAAATGCCAAGTAGAGTATTGTGTGAAACTAAGAAAATCAGATTGTACAAAGTGCATATTTTCAGTTACAGCTTTCTGTTTGAAACATATTGGAAATGTGATCATTGTCGTTTTTATGTCCTCTTGTTTAATTGTTTGGTGATGTAACATTATTGAGCAAAAATCCTAATGATTGGATGGAGCAAAAATCCAAGTGGAATTAAAGGGAGATGTGGAAAACCTACATTCAAATGATTTAATCTTTGTCTTTGTAAGCATGGACGCTCCACATGTCATGTAACCATTTAAGGTCTGCATTTTTCTTCCTTTTTGTTCGGCGTTTAGTGCAAAGGTTAGAGATATCAGGTCAACGTCCCATGAGTGAAAGCCTGTAGCCTTTTTTTAACAGGAAAGTCAAACAAACTTTATTAAAATCTAGTCCTATTTTTAGCTGCCTGGGCAGTGGGTTATCAGATGACCTGTGGTGATGTTAAATATGGATACAAAGAGATAGAGCCAGGAAATTCAGCTGCCATCGGAGTGACCTTTGAGCCGCTTTGAGGAAATATTCAAATCCCTGGACGAGACTTCTAATTCAACGACGGCGAAGCTTAAAATACAATTGAATTCAAACAAAGATTAGGTTAAAACATCACACCAGCTGCTGTCAGTCTGGGGACTACCAGGAAATTGCTGCTTAACCAGCAGGAGTAACACGATAATTAGCTAGAGAAGAAGAGTTTAAAATAACTTGTCTCTGCTGGCGGAGAAATATAATGAAGGCCTTGGAAACGGACAACTAATAGAAAACTGTGCGTCTTCCAGTGCACCCAGGTCAACTTAACCTCCTGGATCAACTTCACAGAATCAGCCTCAAGCAGTAAATAAGGCATGAAATGTGACGATGTTTTTCACACGCGGGAGTTTGAGACAAGTCAGCCATTGCGCCCCCAGAGGATAAACGGGGGTCTCCCAGTTCTTTCCAGGAAAAATGCTAGCTCACTTGCTCCCCAAGGTGGGCACACTTCCCGCTAATTTGCTAATGTGCTAACAGTGGAGCTAATTTCTGGCTTAGCGCTGTTGCTAACTTTCAAAGCGCAGTTCCGTTGCCTCTCTTTTACCTGCAAATGACTTTATTTTAAACAAAATAGAACACTCACATAAGATAACCTGATATAAACGTACATGCAGTTAACTAAGTGTATTAGAGAACATGTAAATTAGTCAAAATTCAACTGTTGGTCTATGGGTAAAGTACCAAAGGCAGATATCATTTGAAATGAAGTTAGCACGTTAGCATAGCTTTCATTAAATACTGTGTTGGTGTAGTGCCTCGGCATTAGCATAGCTGATGTTCATGATTAGTGTTTTGATATTGTTGAAACTAACATTTTAGTTAGCAGGTGCTAACAATCATACAGTCATATTACTACTCCAAAGGTTTCTCTGGCTCATCTGACTACCTCTCTGAACAGGCAATAGGGTAGAGAGAGAAGGTAAAGACATGCAGTACATCCACTTTGAGGTCCGTAGCCTCTGCGTTTGGTTCACCTCCTCGACCAACCACATTTTTTTTCTGAACGTTTAGGGAGTTTTAAAATTTGGTTGATGCGGAGGAACTCACCAGAAGATTTTGCGAACACACGTCGCTTGAGGTTTTGACAATTTTACTTATTTTTGAAAACTGCTGAAATTGTTTGACTTTTGCAGGCAGAACAGAGTGCACATGTTATCGTAGGTACTTTGAAACTGTTACCAATATGTTTCGAATTTTCAGTTATGAAATACTAAATGCAGGATCAACTCCTGCATTTAGTAGGAGTTCAGCCTACTAAATGCACCTCCAGATTTTATTCTTTTCCAGCAGATATGCTTTTTAGGAACATCCCACCGTGCCAGAGACAGTCAATGGCACTCTCTGTCTGTGTGTGTATTTGTCCTTTGTGTGGCCACAGCCAGGCTTTTGTTCCGGCTCTGTGTGCTGTGCAGGAAGATCCAGACAGCTGAGACTCACCTAATCCACAGAGTTGCCTGATGCCATCTTCTGTCGGCTGAACTCTTTCACCCCCTCTACAGACTAGATTTCTGTTCATTATTAAAAACCGGCAACTCACACACTTTCGTATCAATAAATGAATTCAAACAGCTTTGTATTTATTTTCAGCATGAGGTTCATGCTTTTTTTTTTGCAGAGATTCTACTATTTAAAGGGGAGTTGTTGCAGCTTCCGTGTTTGGTGCAATAAACAAGCGAATAAAAGCTGTTCTGAGCTTTTGTTTGCACAGAAGAGACCAGAGGTTGACTGCTATTCAAGCTGGCCCGTCTTCTTTACCCCCGAAAGAGTTGTTGGCGTCCGTTTTAAAGAAAAGGCACCAGCCTTGAGTTAATCTACTGCATATTATTTAATGTTCATCTGCTCACCCATCTAAAGGGAGGCCCCTTTTGAGGCTACTTAATCAGATGCCTGAACCACTTTAACTGTTTTCTTTCAAAGCACAAGTTACTGAATAACTTGATTTGGATCACAAGAAAAAAATTAAAAAAAACCCGAAACTTTCCAGCATTAAGATTTCATCTTCTGATGGCTACTACCAGCAGGACAATGCACCATGTCAGAGACCTCGAATCGTCTTAATCTTGCTTTATGAACATGACTTCCACTGTCTCCAGGTCTCAATTCAATAGAGCAGATGTGTAATGTGGATATTTGCAGGAACGTGATATTTACGTCGGTGATATCTCCAGCAACTGCAATATGTCAACATGGAGAAAAACATTCTATGTTTCCAGCACCTTTTTGAGTCCATTATTGAATCTGGTACTAATGTGTTCTGAAGGCAATGAAGAGGGTTCAGAAAGTGATGAAGTGATATTCTGTCACAAAACAAGGCACAAAAACACTCAAAACACAAGAAATATCTAAGATTTGTATCTTAATGTTGTTTAAACTACTAAAAATCACTAATGTGATTGATCTTCATATTTTGCTCTTGCATGAGTTTTTTTTTGTTTCGGTTGAGAGCGAGTCAAATGGGAGTCACTGAAGTGTTTGGTGGAATAATATTTTTTGGGGTGAGGGGGCTAATATCTATTATCTTACAAAATAAAATAAGATCTTCATTTCAAATGAGCGATGGAAAAATGTTTCTGCATCCACAGAGAATCAGGAGAGTAATTCCAAGACAGACAGAGCGAGTGTGTGTGTGTGTGTGTGTGTGTGTGTGTGTGTGTGTGTGTGTGTGTGTGTGTGTGTGTGTGTGTGTGTGTGTGTGTGTGAGGGAGAAAGAATGAGAGAGTGAGTGTTGCGTTGCCGTTCCCACATGTCAAAGGTGTTGTGTACCATGCGGCCTCCACGTCCCCATCAGCCTCGGATCACGCACCGAGATCTCCTCCGATTGGCCGGCACCTCAGCACACCTATGCGGTCTATTGGTCGCCGCGATGAGCCCCGCCCCTTAACCCTCTTCGCTCCTCCCCCGTTCCATTTGAGACGATGAATGAGAAACGGGTCGAGAGGAGAAGAGCGGGCAGCATTAAAATCTGCACTCAGACATTCACGCACAGACGACAGGGCTGACCTAAAGGTGAAACCTAAAGACTGATACCTTGGGAAAATTACAAAAAAAAAACAAAACAAAAAAAAAAAAACAATCCACCATAGATGTAAGTAAGATTTTTTAAATTCCACTTAAAAAAAAAGAAGAAAGAAATATTGCATAACATTTCTTTGAATAGATTACTTTCTATTCAAGATTGCTTTCTATTTGCAACCTGCTATGCATTTTTATCCTTGTGGCAGACAGGAGGGAGAAGGATGGCCTGCTCTGGTGCTCTGTGCCAGACCCCTGCCTAAAGGGGTTGTCTGGTTGTTTTGTAACCTCTCTCTGCTTCCAGAAGAAACTAGGTGAAAGGGGAGGGAGTGAAGAACACCAGCTGATCATGCCGGTTTCACGTGCTCCCTCCCCCATGTCCTGGAAATAGCTGAATCAATAAACCTGAAAACTAAATAACCTGCACAGGATGACTGTCAGTGAGGCATTAGCCTGGTGCAAATTCTCAACACTTCTCTCTTGTTTTTGTCTTGTCAGATCTCTAGAGTGAAAGTTGAAATGGACCAAAGAGAGGTGTTGGACACCCTCTCTGATTTCCAGCCTTCTTCAATGGGTGCAGGTGACCTGCGGGCCGTGGAAGCTCTGATCTCCATGACTGAGCACTGGAAGATGAGGAACTGCAGGCCCAAACAGCCCAGACCCCTCACCCCCTCCTCAGAATGCTCGGAGGATGACGCCGGGCCCCCCTGTCCTTCTGCGATGCATGAGTCGTCTTTTGTAAGTGAACCAGTGAATGTCACATTGTTTGCTTTGTTTTCTTTGCCAGCTGTCATTTGACGGACCAACACCAATTAGCACATATCCAGAAGCAACGCCAGAAGATGTTCAAATGCTGAACACGACTCTCTGAGCATTCCAGAGAGTCGTGTTCAGCATTTTTCCAAGTATAATCATGCCTCCCCATCCCTCACACCTTCACACCTTCAGGGCCTTAATGTTCATATCTGTAAATTGAAAAATTTCTCAAGCAAAATGTAAAACAAAAAGTGTAACATGCATAACTGTGCAGTTCTGTGAATCAAGGAGAGGATTAGAGAAAGAAAGCCAAAGTGTCTCTGAAGGAAGTGGTACAGCTCAGATGGGGAGATCTGTTAACACTATTAGCGGAGCACTCCATGAATCTGGACCTTAATGGAAGGGCGGTAAGAAGAATCCAGTGTTGATAGAAACACATTAGAGGTCCCGTTTCCAGCTTGCCACAAGCCCATAAGTGACTCAGCGAAATGTTGTAAAGATTGTCTGAAACAGATAATAAAAGTTTCTTGGCCTCCAAATGTGGATAAATTATGAACAAATTATCTCTAAAGTTAAACAGGGTGGCACCAGCGTCATACTGTTGGTGTTTCATAGGGAGGGTCAGTGAAGATCGTCAAAGTTGACAGGCAGAAGGATGAAACTATTTACTGGGCCGTCCTGGAAGAAGCCGTGAAGAGATGTGTCTTTGAGGCCTGCAAATGAAGACAATGAAAACCATGCAGTAGTACTGAAAACTTAGTCCCACTCTTTGTCTTTCTTGCAGTGCATGACGCCACCCGACAGCCCACCCCACTGTGAGGCCGCCCTTTCAGGGTCACTGCCTAAGCTGCATCACTCTCCAGAGGATTCAGCCATTTCCCAGAAGTACCAGTGCACTAGCGTGATCCGCCACACTGCGGATATCCAGCACTGCTCCTGTAGCACTCATCAACCCTTGCAAGAAGTCACAGCCTCGGCGTCTCTTGTGCAGGACTCTAAAACGAATGTGGACGCCTCTAACAGCTGGACTAACAGAGACTCTGATAAGACTGTTGCAAAACAGAAAACCTCCAAAAGTGAATCAGCGCATTTTGAACCCAGCCAGATCCAGATGAGTGGGATAAAACTAGACGACAGATCAAACACGGCCCCTTCAGCTCCGGCTGGAATCACTCTCGTTTCTCGTGTACCAGTCTTCAGCCAGATCGTCCCCGTGTCCTCCACATCCACCGCGAGACCGCAAAACAGTGTCACAACCTCTTCGTCTGTTGCATTAGCAATCACGACCTCACACACTTCACAGCAGGAGCTTGGATCGCCACTGATACCAACAGGTTCCCCTCCACACATCCTGTTAGTAGAGGGTCAGGTGGTAAAAGGCCCTGTAGTGTTTCTTGTTCCCCAACCATCTGTTCCTGCCGTCTGGAACCTTCAGCAAGCACACATGACATCTGGTGGCACCAGGTTTGCCCCTATTGCCCCCGGTCCTGGGCGCGCCGCGCTGGAGCAAAGGAGCGCCGCTCTACAAAGAGAGTCTTCACGTGTGCGCAGCCATGTTTGCCCTCATGAGGAGTGCGGCAAGACTTACTTCAAGAGCTCCCATCTCAAGGCCCACATGAGGACACATACAGGTAAGAGACGAAAAATCTCAAGAAGTGCCATCTTGCTGATGATTCAAGAACAGTGAAAGTCAAATCCCCTCTTGTCTTTGTCCCAACAGGTGAGAAACCCTTCAAATGCAAGTGGGAGGGCTGCGAGAGGCGATTTGCTCGTTCGGATGAACTTTCCCGCCATCGTCGAACACACACCGGAGAGAAAAGGTTTACGTGTCCCATGTGCCTCAGCCGCTTCATGCGCAGCGACCACCTGGCTAAACACGCTCGACGACACTTTGTGGCGAGAAAGAAATCCTTCTGGGCATTAGGGATCAGCCCCTCTGCAGACCTCTCTGCATCCATTGCTGTTAAAGTCTCCTCTACAAACACTCTCGTGAGACACTAATTGCTGAAAGGCCAAAGACTGCGAAAACAAACAAAAACTTATTGAGGCTGAATTTGCAGATATTTATGTTTTTCCAGTTAAAAAGTGCAACAGAGGTTAAGCACCGCTGTGTGTATGGAGGAGAGGAATCAAACTCTCTTCCATGAACTTTTTTTCCTGCAACTTTTTGTTTTTCTGTCAATCTTTTTTTTTTATTTGACCAAAGTGTTTGTGCCTTATAAAATGTATTATTTTTAAACAATGTTTGTGCAATGTTTAGTTTTTGTTAGGAACACAGTACTACAAGGCAAACTTTGCAACAACATTGAGGTAAAGGGTTTGCATGTTTCTGAGGTAATGATAATAGTTTGTCCTGTAGCCAGTAGGGAAGGTTGCTGGTTCAAACCCTGCTCCATTTGTCTCACATGTTGTTTATTTGGGCAAGATACTTCTCCCGTCTTGCCTGCCAGTGGTGGTCAGGGCCCAGAGACACCGATGCATGACAGCCCTGCTTTTGAGAAAAATTCAAAACCCAGTAACACGCAGCCACATCAATGAGCTGTTTATTAATGTTCATTTTTACAAGCTACAGCAGCAACTTAACAGAAGGCAAGTGCCTTACCAGTTTTATTCTTAGACACAGATTTGAGAGACAGCTTTACAGATGTGACACATGCAATGCAAGCAGCCTTGCATTGTCAAAAACTCTGGCAATATTCTTGCACCACATATGTCTGGTATAAATAAGAGCTTGTGAAGTTTACAGAATTACAAATGTACTGTTTTGTTACTGAAATATCCCTTTCTGGTGCAGCTGATTCCTTATCCATCAACACTTACTCTGTTCCATCTGCAGCACATGCTGTCTAATACTCTGGCTCTATGATAACCTGCTGGCCCTTTTCGGAAAGCCGCTCTGCACTTTGGCAAAACACAAACACACCAGCTAACTGGTCATCACTTAAAACTTTTGCTTCCGAACCTCACCGGGCCGAAACAGTCTGTTTTCTGCAAGGAGCAGATGCCGCTGCGACGCCAAAGATAACTGAAAATACTATGTTTTGAATGAGCCCATGGGGAGTTAAGCTCGTCATATATAATAAATTATGCAAGACAATAAAAATGATAAATACAAGTGTAATAAGAAATTATTTCAGAGCAATGTTTCAATCACTCATATGCTTTACTGAGACTGGCAACACTAGCAGAAGTAGTAAATACATCAGTTAAATATATAATCACAACAATTCTACATATACCTAATTCAGTAAACTGCAATTCGACAAGATGCTAATAACATGAAATACTTGAGTAATTCTGAAATTATTCTGCTACGTACTAACTGACATGTACTGTTTGATTTTCAGGGTGTAATGTCATCAGAGTGAGGATAAGGTTAGATCTACCCGGTCCCAGGGCTTTTACACATATCTGCACAACTGGCTTAATGAGTTTGTCAAGGTGAAGGACAATAGCAGCGTAAACCAGTAGGAGAACCCAAAAGCCTTCCTGGTCGGCAGGTTGCTAAGCTGGAACAGACAGAGCCGCTTCTGTTTGCCAAGAGCCGAGGAAATATGGGATCCAGGAGAAGTTCTTCATCGTAGTCTCACTGGTTACACCAGCATCCTGCATTTCTACCCTAGAGAAGGAAGCAACAAACATGTAAAGAAAAAATAAAAATAACTGATTCCTTCTGAATGCAGAAAAAAAAACATCAGAAAGATTCTCACCAGTCTCTTGAGGATATCACATAGTGGACAGGGGGCGGTGTTGAGTCAGTGGAAGGGAACAGAGGCTGACCCAGAGTGTAGGCTCCGGCTTGTGGAAACAGCAGCCAGTCCCCCGTGTTGAGCTCAGGTAGTAGGCAGTGGTCCACTACTTGGTCCAGGTCGTCCCCAGAGGGACCCCACAAGCTGCTGCTGAACACTGGGAGGTCCAGAGACACATTCTGTCCACAAGGCATCAAACAGAATTGTTAAACCATTGGAAATCAAAGGAAGAGATCAGATTTGTCCGGAATGTTGAGACTCACCTTATGAACAGATGGCGTTGCAATCACTGTTTCTGAGAGCTTGCTTGAAAATGATCCATACACTCCCTCGTTCATGTAATACTGGAACTCTGGCTCTTCATTGGGAGACAGCTCACCTGTTCAAGAAGGTAGAGTTTATTTAATACTTCAAAATATACAGTCTAAAAGGTGACCGAAAGCTTTAATTAATCCCATAAACACATGAATTAAATTATTCATCTTAAACACAAAGCATCGTTCCACCTACTTTGTTTCTGGTCCTGGCAGTCACGAGCCATCACTGCTTTGGAAATGATGTTAACAGCAAGAGTGAATGCAGTGGACACAAAGAAGCTTCCGGGTTCTGCAATAATGGAGACTCCAGTGGAAGATGGGAAGTAAAGGTCCACCATGGACATGACAGCACAGTTAATCTAAAAAAACAAAAACATGACAGAAAGTTAGGAACTGTAAATCTAAGCGTAACCAAATACCAAGTACAGCTGACCATTTCCAGCTGAGTCTCAGAGCCACTGAATCCGCCTCCAATGTCCAAGATGTTCATGCTGAAACCGACCTCCTCCTGCAGGAGACAAAAGAAAAACATTACCTGTTTTACATGTCTCTGGAACTGAAACTAAAACCAGTTCACTTTTAAATTTACAGTACTTACACCCATGTCAAAGATACAGCGGGCATCAGAGATTGCATGACTGTAAACCTGGTCATCATCACATGTGCTGAAAATGTGAGACCTGAAAGGGAGAAGACGCCCCTCACAGTCGCACAAAGTCCACTTTTATTCGGTTTACTGCAGAATATTATTTTTTGAGGGATGAATGGCTGCTGTTGAATCACTTCAGTGTGTTTGTTCAGGATGATTTTCAGTGCGTCTCACCTGACTCCCACAACTTGCACACCGAGCTCCTTCGCGCTCTCCAGCAGGCGCCTGCAGTCTTTGAGGGAGCAGCCGAACGTCATGCCCATCTCGTCGTCTGGGTTACAGGCCTCGGTGGACACCTGCAGCAGCAGCCTGGGTCGATGCACGGCAGAAAGAGCAGCGGTTACTGATGTGGTAAATTCACTCGACAATTTGGTCAAAATCTCCAGCTTCTTTCACAGTAGGTACAGAAATAACATCGGATGTCCGTGTTCAAGGTGGCGCAATTACATTCTGAACTACTGTCAGGTGTTTTAACACCAGAACCAAACTGGATTCTTGTACTTACCCTGGTTAGCGCTCTGCTAAAGAGATAATTAGCATGAACTACAGGAAGTCTATTGCTACTCCGACTAGACACAATACCCCAGTGATCACAACTACACAGTTTTCAAATGACAAATAGTCCAAATAGTTATTTCCATAAAGTTGTTTTAGGACCATTTAAAGTACAATATAATCACATTCCTAAAATAATGTCCAGTGTATTTTTTTCCTAAATCATCTTTAGCAAGAAAAGATTTGGAAAAATCGTGATTTTTTATTTTTTTTTAAAAACCAAAACCAGTTTTGGCATAAAATAAAGAAAAACAAAAACATGACTTAGGCCATTGTCAATATTGTAAAATAATGTTCTAATAATGCGAATTCAGCCTTCCAAAGATTAATAAACTTTAAGTTTGTACTGAACACTTAACATGGAAACTGGAAAAAAAATTAAATATCAAAAATAAAACAACAACATAATATAATGAATAATAAAAAAAAACATACACAACCAAAATTAAAGATAAAATGGATTACTAGGTCTCTGTAAATAAGATATCAATGTAACATAACATAACATAATGTAATACCAAAACTGGGGACTGAAATCATCCACAAATTCTGAACACAGCACATCTAGTTCCTGATCAAAGTGCATCAGTCCACTGACTGGAAACACATACTGCACTGACTTACTTGGCATTAGGGTGGCAGCGAGAAATCTTGCGCAGCTCCGCTTCGTTATCACACACAAGGAGGTCGATGCCATTTTTAGCCGTGTATTTTATGTGGGAGACTTGCTTGCAAACACCGCTGTAGATGATGTCTTCGGAGGGAATCCCGTGGCTCTGCACAAGCTCAAGTTCAGACTGGAATTCAAAAGCAGGCCTGTGTTACATTAGCAGAGAAGGAAGCAATGCAGGCATCTTGATGCTCTGCTACAATGAAACACTTCACGCCCATCGTGACAAACTGATAGACAGCAAAACTCCTACAAGGTGTGAGCATTACCTTGTTGGAGCACGTGAACCCGGAGCCCAGGGCAGCGAGAACCTCAATCACTGCCGGGCTGCTGTTGCATTTGACAGCATAGTAAGGACGAATTTGGGGCATGTGAGTTCGCCAGCGAATGTGCTGCCTCATGATCACTCCCAGGTCAGCGACAAAGAAAGCACTCTTCTCAGACTGCAAAGAGAGAGAGCAGAAATATGAATGAGATTAAGATGTACCAACGAGGCCTGTCGCAATAATAAATCAATTAAATTGCATGATAAGTGAGGTATTATCACACTCAATCATTTCCATTGGCGTGATTTATCGTTTTCTCTTTTTACCAAAAGGTCTTCAGTCTGTTTGCTTTGCTCGCAAATGGCCATTTTGTTTAAGGACGGTTTTGTTTACACAGAGTTCATTAGTCATTTTATTTGCTCTTTCTGTTGTTTTTGTTCATTTATTTTGGATTTTTTAAATAACTTAACAGTTCCAGCGTTAGACTTTCACTAGAATTTAAAGCTTATTGATCTTCAAGAATATTTTCTTGCATTATTATGCCACTGTCATTACATTAATTGCAAACTGTCTCAAAACAACAATATTAACGTTTATCCCAATAATCTCTGGAACAGTTATCATTCCAGCAAAATTTGTTATGGTGGCAGGCCAAGCACCAGGCAGCTCACGTTCACTTTGGTAAGTTTGGAAACGGTAACCAACGGACTATAACACAGTTTCGGCCCTGAATCGAGCAAAAACTTTCCAAAGCCATGTTCAGTGAAGGTGGAGAGCGCTCACCAGTGTTTGTTCTTCAATGTGATTATTAATCACATCACTTAGGGTGGTGCCTCCATCCAGTAAGCTGACAGAATACTGCGGTTCATCTGTGATGCCTTTCATCCTCTGGATCTTTCTCTTCTGATCCGACAGGCATAAAGAATGGAGCTGGTCAAGAGTGGTTTTCAGTGGCTGCACGTCGAGCCCCTGGGGTCCTAGATTTACACAGCAAACTGTGGAGGGAAACAAAGTCAAAATCTGCTGGGAATGTTTCAAAACATCAATGCAACATAAAGCTCTATTAGTAACTTCATTAATGATTCATTTTCCCCCTTTATTACTGGTATTTGTTTCCCTTTATTGTTATTATTACTTTTCTTCTACAATATCAACAGAAAAGACAGTGCAGTATAGGTATAACAAATGCCTGTACTGGATTTTTAGGCTATTAAAATAAATTTCATTATCTATGAATCCATTAAAAAACTTAAACAACTGACTGATCTTTCAAAAGCCTGAAAGATTTTGGCCGATAATAATTGTTTTTCTTGAAAAGTTGCCAAATATTGCGATAAA